AATGGTCGCCTGTGAATTAAAGAATATTAACCAAAATTAATTTTATGAAAACCGTCAACAAAAGCTTTCACTCGCAGCAGGAGGACTACTTCTTTACTTGACGCAGAAAAACTGTCTAGTTTTTGTTAGCTGCGTCGACAAAAAGGTGAAATATCTGTTGGTGTTTTTTTGCGACCTCCCTTTTGGTACTAGCGTAATCTTGCCCTCAGCCAATCCAATTTAACAACTGAAGTATAATTCCTTAATCAAACAACCCACCGCTACAGGTAAATGTATAAGTGTCGGACAAATAAAAAAGATTCGGGAAAAGCCGTCGATAAGCCTTCGCCCTCCAACATTGTCGAAAGCTGTGCTGACCGCAGCCGATCGGGACCCTCATCAACTTTGACACTGGCATTCGAAGACTGCAATCCCTTCGTCCCTTCGTATAATACAGATATGGAAGTCGAAATGAAAGGCTTATTTTGACTAAATTAAGCTATGCCACACACTTAACTAAATTTTTGAGGAAATTATACGCAATGGTAACAAATAAAGTGATGATATCTTGATTATGAGTCCTAAGATATTGTAATCTGTATGTGAAATAATTACACATTGGTATGTATACGTGTTTCGAAGCTATATAGAACGTTTACTAATATGATAATGTTAGGCGTTTAGATAAATGTACCTACTTTCAATTTGACGTTGTTGTGACGGTTGTCTAACCCTTATCACGTGTCAAAGTCCAAAGCATTATTTAGTCATAAATTGCTAGTCGAAATTAGCAAAAACTTTTTTGTACCCATTTCAATCGCCTTCTTCCTAATGAAGAAGTTCAACTGAATCCCAATTGACACTTATAGCAGATGCTTCCTTTCGAGCAGAAAAGTGTATAGGTACATTTTTCCCTCGATAAGTCACTTCCCAGTTCTTGAAATTGAAGGATAAAACTTTTGATTTAAGTCATGTTGTATACAATTTTTAGTTCCTGAAGAACTTTCGTCTTTATGAACAATATATTTTGTTAATCGTTTAAATTACTATTTCCAGATAGTCCAGTTTTTTCACTAATTTGTTCACTTTTATAATACATAATATATATATTATTTTAATAATATACACAATCTTTTTATAAGCACATGTTCATATATTTTTAAATCTTCTCTTACATTATTCTAGTACTCCAGTGCAATAGTAATTGTGAACCAGTTGTAAATAATAATGCACTGCCTTTATTCCAGTGCTCGTAAAACACGTAAGTTACGCGTTATGACCTTACTTGGGACAGTTCCGAGTTTCATTCGTGTTTTAGTATAAGTCATGACGTTACGATGAAATTTTATGTTACGATATTTACTTTTCTAATAACTTTCAAAACCTACATTTCAACAAATGTTTGACTTCCAGTGTTCAGTTTATGTTTTCTTGAAAACCTAACATTAGTTGAATTAGTTATTCTAACATTAGTTGTATTGTCAAAGTACTAAAATTTTCCATAATTACAATCTGAACAGAGCCCCAAGTTATTAGTGGAACGTAATTATAGTATAAAGAGTCGCAGTAAATCAAAGTAACTGCTGTCGTATCTCTAAAACTAACTAGTTGTCTCAAGGAAATGAATTATTAGCTGCCATGTAGTTCTTTGTAATTGTCAGCCATTTTACACATTACCGAGTTTTTAAGAAGCCGGAATACAAGTAATACTACATATGCGTATACATTTTCCACTCATCAAGTTTGTCGCAATTTGTTGTAAACACTCAAATCTTTGCACTTAGGGCTTGTTGACGCTTGTTGGTACACAAGAGCACTGTCTGTCAAAGTTAACCGGTAAAGTTATTATCGTATCACGTGATTGTGAGTGACGTCAAAATATTGAGAACCTTTTTGGCGTTAGCACTTATTTGTTAGTTATTTTATGGAATGCAGTTGGATGAAAATTAAATTCCGATTGTTAATATTGCACGGGGACAGAAAAGCGGCATCAGAGATCTTGTCGTGACAAATTAAGTCTTTGACGAACTATCTGCATTTGTCAAGTCAGAACTAATTGAGATTAGTTATGCTTTGCGAGTAGTTTCACTGCCGGAGTCGGAAGTTCTGAGATGAAACTGTAACAATGTGACTCTATCTAGTTTAATCTATACGTAACACGGAACAGTACTTCGACACGCAAACGTGTGCACTCATTGTTCTTCGGAACTCATTTATAAGGGGCGTCTTATCGCAGTCACCCGCGCACGTGCTTCGACCAGCTCCACTTTAATCCCACGATAATCCAGCCCGGAAAAAACCAATAACCATTGTTTTCCAACTACATTTACACTGCATTCGTAGGATGTTTGTACGAAATATCGCCTTGGAGAAACACAGCTTACACCTTTACATAACGTCCTAATCTGATTCTAGCGACTCATTCCGTACGTAACTTTTCGCTTGGTGTCCTCGTCTTTCGAGTTGTAGTAGAAACTAATGGAAGGTATGTGGTTTGTGAAATTGTGTGAGATGAATTATTTCACGTGAGTTGCGACTTTGGGGGGCTTGAATGCTCAACCGCGTCTCAATTAAGCGCGCCCGCCCCGGGGCACCGGTTGTCGCCTCACTTTGTCTACGTGAAATAGTGCTTTAGAAATTTTACTCAGCCGTAGCAGCTGCATGTGAACTGTGAACAGTTTGAGACAAAAGTAAAGCCAAGTAATTTATTCCGGATCGTGTTCCCAGTTCCTCACCAGGTCGCATTTTATTCGTATATTATGCGAAGGTTCAGTATATGCTCTGTACTGATGTATATTTATTGCCGACCTCTGAAATCTGATTACAGAAGCTGCAATTTAATAAACATTAAGACTAACTTTGCCTTAAGAGGAATTCGCGGTAAACGATTACAATTACAAATTAAGATGCTTATGGCATATTTTTCCTCGAGAAAGCTAGTGTCGAAAGTGGGTAATCTCCCCTGGGCGCCAGGTGGCTGCTTCTCTTTGTGGACACACGTGAACTTGGCATGTGTAATAAATTACCGCGAATTGTGCGCTTCATTTACTCATTTGACGCGGAGATATGTTAAAGTGCCCGGGCTGAGCGTCAAGAGTTGTCCGTGCGCATTTACTCCTAACAATTTAAGTAAATTCCTTACAAAATAATATCTCATGATAATAAATTGACATTTGAGCATGTTAGCAGTCATCGTTATAAAATGAGATAATTAGCACACTCCACGGGTTCTCTCGAGCTGTGTTCGGGGGCAGCCAATTAAAGTTAGGTGTCCCGGGGCGACAGTTGTCACTTAATATCCTGTCCCCAAAATACGCCTGAGACGTCTTCCTCTAGCTACTACGACACTGCCTTGTAAATGCAAATTAGTTGACAAATTGTTACCGAAAATGTGGATCTGTCGGTTTATTATCTAAAACATACTACTCATTTACTACCACTTTACGTTTGCAATATTTATCATTAATGTCAAGACAATTAAAAATAAAAATTTACAATACTGATATTTTACATTAAGTAATTAGTTTTAATACTTAATTTATAATTAACTTATTCATGAGCATTTTTGAAATAACAAAGATACGGCTGCGATGAGGTTTCTGAAAATCTCTCGCTAGATGTCACTTTTGCGGCGTTGAAAGTCGAAAACCAGCACAAAGATCTGTAACAAAAAAATTCGTCAACTCGATAATTTGTCCTGTAGTTCATTTAGTTATAGAGTAACGCTACGGTACAGCGTGGTTATGGGTTCAAGTCCCATCGGGGCGAGGAAAAAAAAATGTTTCTTTGTATTAAAAATCGTAACAAATTAGGTATGTTTTGTGTTGATTTTAACTGTCGTGTTCGTACCACAAATAACAATTGATGTGGTTGTCGTTCACTTATCAATTAAATTTATTAATTTACCTATTCGAAATGATTACGCTGCGTAGTCGATCGTTATGAATTTCAATGAAGTGAATTCGATAAAATAAGCCGGCAAAATGAACCGCGTCCGCAACAAAATTGAATTTTCCAGAAAGGAAATTTTGCACATCATATTTTGCAATTTGCTCTTGTACTCACGCCCCGTATAAATGATTGAATCCCCTTCTTTTGACACTTTTTGCAGTTCATTAGACGCCTGCTATTCTTTTCTGAGGCTACTCACGGCTTCAATACTCAAGACCCGAGATTCGATGCTCGTTAATCGCTTTTAGAGGGATACTATCAATCTTCATGATACGTTTAATGTTTTCATTAGAGGCTTCGACAAAAAGGCAGGATTAATTTAATTGTACACTTCATTTACATTTTCTTACTTTCCAAACGTGGCAAATTATGCCTTATAGTTATGATTTAATTTTCTTTTTTATGGGTTAGGAACTTGATGGTTATAAATTTGTTGCCTCATTATTACCGTCGTCGGGAGGTTTTACTTTGTTGGCATCTTTCAGCTCGACTCATTAATGATCTTAGTGTGCGACCAACTTACGTTTGCCCCCGAAATCAGCGCTCACTGCACAAGAACCCTTACAATATTCACGAATCCGAAATTTACTTGCCTGCAAAAATATTTTGGTAGCCTTGTAGCCGTTCTACTGTTGCCTCCTTACTAAGCATTATTAATTATAGTTGAGATAGATACACGTAAATATAGCTTTGGGTTCGTGTAATTAATTTTGGACACTGTTCAGTGGCGTTCGAAACATATGGCTGACTATTCATCAAAATAAAAGCACTGTGAAATGAGATGTTGAATTTTAGTGTCGTGTGAATTTAGAAAGTAATTTCTCCTCACAAAGACTGTGTTTGGCTTGTGGCCTACTTAGGCCGATAAATGATATTACTTTTTACAATTGAAATCTTGATTAAGTATACTTCTTTGGGAAACCACATTCGATACCAGCAATGAGACTTGACTCTATACATTATAGACATAAAGAACAGAGGATATCGGCGAGATTTTGCATAACGATGTAAGCACACATACATAGATAGGTACAATATATGTTATAGCACTTGTAATGTTATTGTTGCAGCAACAAAAGACGAGCCAGACGGCGATAGTAGTGAATGCCGCGGGCGGCAAAACGGCGGAGGCAGAGACTCGTCGCTGCACTACAACGGCTACTCGGAGGAGTGCCTGGACCGGCTCGAGCCCAACGGGAATATACCGCACGATAAAGACTCACATTACGGTTAGTAGCTTTAGGAAACACCTTTTTAGAGTATATTAGTGCAATGTCATTTATATTAGTAATGTAACAACAATGACATTAGCAGCAGTAGAGCTCCTTCTGGAAGAATTCGTCCAGGGAATATTACCAGTTTTGAAGGGTAAGGGTGCTGATGAAATTACAGTCCATAAAACCCATTGACCTACTAACAAATGGACGTCGGGTTCGCGCTAAAAAGTGTCCACACCTATAGGGCGTTAAAATCGCATACAGAGCGTCAATCGCGCAACAGTCTTCATTTGTTCGACTGACAGCGCGGTTGTCAATCATGTTGTACTATATAATAATAAGTTGTCTGCAGTAAAGTGTAAAAACAGGATTCTGTATCGTATTTTCACTAGACAAATATGTTGTGTTATCATAGTTATCATTTAAATGTGTTATTTTGTACAGTTGTATAGTTTTTAGTTTATATATAAATTAATCGTAAATTTAAATTAAAAAGCAAACAAAATAATCAAGTAGCTAACTGTCCTTTTTCTACACATTGCACGGCAAAAGATGGACAGATACCCTTTACGTCAATTTCAAGAAGCTCATATAAACTTCTTGGTTATTTTCATTTGTTCGAACCGTAAGCGATTGGAATATTTGGAACAAAGAAACTATAGAGTCTTGTTGATTTAATCTTGTTTTTAAAATGACTTTTTATGAAACGTTAGCAATAACTAACAAAATATTGTTGTACTCGTTTTACGCCTCGTTTTACCTATCAGAAGTCAGAAAATACATTTGCTCGAATTTTCATAATGTCAGATGTATTTTATTGGAATATTACAAAACATAAGCTAATTTTAGCTTTGTAAGAAGCATCAAAATTATTTGAAAATGCAACGGTTATTATAAATCGGTTTTATAAATTGATTTGAGTTAACGTTTAGTTGGAATATCGGTACATTTCTTATAGTACACGCTTATTTTCACATTTGTAATATTTGTATGTATGTATCTGCCCAACTCTTTATTATTTCTTGAAGTGAATTTGTACAAAATTCGACAAAATAATATAGTAATTTTCAGTCGAAGTTAAATATGGTGCATTTTGTTAAGCTACAAGTAGAAGCTGAATATGGTGTTTTTGGGCCCTTTACGTTTACGTTACTATTTAAATTAAATGTTTTAGTTTTTTTATATTTCATTACATGTCACTACGTTTGTATAGGTTAACTTCGGACATTTTTTTCGTGGTTTTTGTATTAGACCCGACGTCCATTTGTTGGTAGGTCAATGATAAAACTTTATGTTTCAAGGTGACGGACGCGGTGGCAGCGCCCTTTAGATCTTTGCGACTAAAGCTCTAAGTGGCAGTACTGCTAGGCATTTCCTTTACCAGGCGCACGGCTGGATCGTTTCGTCATTTTAAGTGTTAGCGTTATTATTATTTAAAAAAATATATTACTTATATTTATTATTTCATTATTATATATATATTTATATCATAATAAAATATGTCATAGAAATTAAATTTGGACATGATATCGTTCACTCCGTCACCCTTGCGAGGAAGGCGAGTATATTTACGCGCAAAAGTAAATAAAAATACATCTGCGACATACGACCTAGTTCTCCATAAGCATGACTAAGTTTCTATGACTCTAAATGCAATTACAAAGGATCAGCACTCGTTATGCGTGAGCATCATCCATTCAACAGCACTTTTCATTTATACAAAGTGGTTGTGTCGCTTGCGTATAGAATGTATTCAAAAGCTACTCACACTGAACTGTCGCAATGCGGCATTATCATAAAGCTAGATTTTTGTTAATCACTGTACCAAATACGTGATTATTTGATTCGTGCAAATAATGCCCAATATGTATTACGTGGAATTACGCTTGAGTAATTTCGTGTACATGTCGAACACGCTATTTTATATACAATTAAATTGTTGCATTGTCATAAATACAGCCTGGGTTATACACGCCAGCATAAACATTTTAAATATTTCTTTGTATCTGAAATAAACAATTTGTTTTAAAAATTAGAGTACACTTTTGCTGCCTACCTGTTTGTTTTTTTAATATAATATTCATAGCAGCCTTTCTTTTAATTTTTTCTTATTTTTATACGCAATGGTCAAAAATTGCCGTACCCGAGAAAATTTAATTGGCGTTTTGTAACATTTAATAAAGTTTGTTAAATTAAACCGTTTGTTCGTTGAAATGCTCTGCCTAATCCTTATCAAAAACAGACCCGGAGCCACTTTGTATTCCTAAAATTATCTTTTCTAAGCCCCGTCACATACTCATTTGCACTTTATGAAAGCTGGACAATTCTTGCCTTGACATTATCCTATCTCGCCGTGAAATTGTTTGCCATCCTTTCCCGTATAAACGTTAGATAAAACGATAAATTCATTGTACTGAAAGCGCATTGCGTGCTACCAATCTTTTTTCTCATCTGAATATGTTATCGTACCATCCAAACCGAAAAACAACTGTACGATAATGTATTCAGGCCATATACTTCGAACTGCTAAATTCAAAGGAATAATATGCCCTAAAAACAAAAGAACCCGTTCCGCGACTGTTTTATGTTTACATTGATTCTCTCCATGATTTCTTGTGTTATAATTTGATCATCTAAATGAGTGACGCTATAAAATAAAGTTATCACGTTTTATTAATCTTGGACAGCGATTATGAAGATTGACGTCTCAATGTGGTCGTGGTTGGATTTTTTAATTAATGAATTCTATTCCCGTTAGAAGGCGTTTTAATAACGCACGTTATCCATTCAGGCCACAGACCACAGACCACAGTGATTCAAGCTATTGTACCCCGTCGGTGCCCAAGTTCTCTCACTCGACGTCCATTTCTTGACACTAGAACAATTAGTATTTACTATTGAATTGCATTAACTATAATTCTGTACGTACCTCGCGTTATTACCCTCGCAGGACTCAACTTCCGGATGTAAATGAAAACCACCTAAGCGTGGTTATGGGCCTACCAATTTGATTTCATCGCGCACGAAGACTAGTTACCTTCCTGCTCGTAGAGATATTGATATGAAGCCTGTTTTGACCTTCATACCTTCATTCATACCTCGTATGAATTTTGGTTTTGTCAAGCACGTTATATCTTGTCACGAGAGACGGAATTAGACGTGATGGTACGGCGTACTGACCAGAAATGACTTCCCTCGTCGCCTGTGAAGACTCGGTGTTCATGCTAGAAGTAGTCATTTCGAGATTACTGGAAAAGTAACAATTACAACTTTAAAGACACGACAACAAGCTCATAGAAAAATTCGTGAGGTCCGCTGGTTCGTTCCGTCGCTTAGTTGGTATAGCGTCTAACACGGTATGCTAGAGGACGTCGGTTCGAATCCGGCCGGATCGAAGGATGTTTTTCTGAGTGTTCGATCTTTGTATTAATAATTATAACAAACTAGTAGAGTAATTTCACAAAAAAACAATTGAATATCAATTCAATAAAAATTTAATTAATATTACTTTACAGTTAGAGTACAGGTTAGAATAGACTTTGAATATTGTATTTAACAAAATTAATGTCTATAAGTCTATTCACACGGCGTATTTTGTAAAATTATACAAAAGTGCGTGAGAAACTCATCTGTGTTGCGTTTTACGCGCGTTTGAATCGAATTTATGAACGCGTGCCAAGGTTTACTGGCTGCGACTAAATCTCGTTTAAACCGCGTCATCTGCACGTCGTATAAGCGTAAAAAATATGCCGTGTGCACAGGCTCTAAGTTAACAATATGTTGAACCAACACAACAGTAAAAACTGTATTGAATATATTTTGTTTTGCTATCAACAGTTTTGTTCCAATAAAGGATTGCTTCATATATGAGATTGTTCAAAAATCCCTTAGGTGAAAGTTCTTTGTTTATTTTTATTTGACCGTAAAATGCATATTTTTTTATTTCAGTCCATTGCGTCCCAAACAATACCACAGGGCCCGTGTCAGCGCCACCCTCTCATCTGACATGTGTAAATAAACGCTGACGTATAAATATTTATGAACCAATCACTGCGTTTGTGGCGAATTGGTGTTCCAGTCATCATACTTTAGTCGCGACAACGACCGCATATCATTGCTATAGGATTACTGTCGTAAATCGTGCACATTTTTCAGATACTTAATGCCTTTATTCTTAGCTTTTTTGTTCTTGTGCTGCATTTTCTCGTCAGTTAGACCTAACGATGTTTAATTAATGAATATTTATTAACAACTTTGATCCCTTGTTCCGTTTTTTATAAAAAACTCGTGTTTCCTTTCTCAACGCAGCGTTCTTTTATATATCTCTCTGTTTTCGTTTTTAAATTTTTCTCGTTTCAAATAATTACTTCACGTTTTATCGTTCCGCTTATTTCTAACAGTACGTTTCATTATATTGATATCATTGTCTATCAGTCTTAATGAATATTGGAGCATTCCCACCCCAGCACCACTACCTAAATATCCGTAAAAGCCATTCGTATAATCCAAAATGGCCTTCTATCCATTTACATTCTCATAAATCTGACTACTAGGCTTAACGGCTCGCGAGTCCGTAGTTTAGTATGTAAACAAGTTATTGTTTCGCCACCGAGGGGTATCTTATAAACCCATGAATGAATAAACAAGCAATATGGGGTCGTGTTTGTTTTTACTCGGACACTGTTTTAGATAGACATCTGATTTGATGTCGTGCTGCGTTCTTTATTTTATGACTGGGTGGTATTTCATTTTCATTATGTTCGCTGTGAATAACTAGAATTAATGGCGATTTTGTCACTGCCCGTTTTGATGTGCATTTGTTTTGGATGATATATTGTTGAAATAACATTCTAAAAAACTCAAAATTTTTTTATCTTTTTCAATTTGTATTATATCTCTTAACGTTTGCGTTATAAGCTGTTTTCTTCTTAATTAAGATTTAACTACCTATTCACGAGTCTTCCTTTCAAATACGAATATCATAAATAGGTTCTGTTAATCGATCAGATAGCTGTTTTCATCTCTTTTATCTTCACGATAGCTTCTGTCAAGCCATTATTCTTGATCAATAGCTTTCTCTTAAGGTTTGATTAATATTCTGTCTGTTGCAAAGTGTACTTACTGAGAAGTCGTTTGTTACAAATGTTATTTAATTAAGCGCAAATATGATTAGCTGCCAATTAAGCATCTATTGAGTTAACAGTACGTCGCTGTTATTTCAAATGTAGTTGATTACTGCTTGTGCGACTCATGGGTGTTTCAGTTATTAATTATCGTCATACTATCATGTTACTACGTGTTACTAGCCAAATTGCATCCCGTCACGCAATATAAGCCCCTAAAAAAAGCCATTTTTATTCCCTTTATATTTGAAATTACTTCAGCGCTATAATACTTTTTTATCTTCCTGAAAAAAAGTATATTTAATATTGCTATCAAATGTAGCGGGCTTTTTATATTCTGACCTCATCATACTTTTCAACGCATTAATGCTCATTAAGCTGGGAAGCCATTTGCATAAAGATCATTTGTAAATGCCTTAAATACCTATACATACCTAACTGTAAGCTTATGCATATTAATTGTGCCCTGTGGATTATGATTGTTCTGGGATAATTTGAAAAGTTCCTCAACTAGGTCACGTTCACACGTCGCGATGTCACAAATTATTCGGTCCTGCAAGAGCGTACCATTGCGTCGTTCAAAGCCCCGTGTCAAACAAGACATGAAATGTTAATGATTAATTCACATAATGTACGCAACTTTTCTCTTGCGAATTGCGCAATAATAAGCGCGAGCATTTCAACAATTCAAGCGCTACAGAGAAAGTGACCTATTTACACAGTCATTACCTGAAAATTAGTGAAATTAAATTATGAATGGGCAACAAACCATTAATTCGATCGTGAATCATGCTGAAAACAACGTTTAACGTTAGTTAAATTCACACGCACAGACAAACATTAAAGGCTAATAATTAGATTAGTAAATTGCCTATACGGACGTCGTAATAGATATAACTGAACGATGACAGTCGGGCGGCCATATTAATTACGCGTATATACAAGAATACCGAGTTCTGAGCCGCGCCAGAAATGACGAGGCACTTTGGGGCCCCATAAACATTTTTATTTCCGTGTTATGAAAAATGACACAAGCGTAAAGCCTGCTAGCTGGGGATATATGCATTGGGCCGGTAAAAGGAGGTGATCGTAAAATATGGCCGTTCGACGAATACGGTTCACAGACCCCCTTATTAGAATTGATGTATTATATTTCTATACTATTTATTACATTAAATATACGGCATAAGGACATTTGGACATGTGTATTGTACATGTTCCTCTTTTTCTAAAGTGTTATAGCTCCATCGATACAATCCATGGAGCCGTCAGCTGCAACTTAAGGAAGTCGTTTATTATTCAGCATTTAACCTGTGAATTTCGAGCGCAAATTTCACTGAGACGAGATCTATAACACTATTAACGGAAAATAGAAGAATTTTGAAATCCTCGACTTCATTGTCTAATTGACATAATATTTATTTTAACGTCATTCAAATTATTAATATTTTGACGTCTAGTTACATTTTACAATTATTGTCAATAAAATTAATCCGTGTATCACCGCGTTTAAGGGCCTATGCACACGGCGTATTTCATACGCGCGGACGACGCGCATAGGACGCGCTGATGACGCGCGTTAACGTGATTCAAACGAGATTCAGTCGTAGCCAGTAAACCTATGCACACGTACACAAATTCATACGCGCCCCGTAAACGTGTGTGTATCGCGCATTTTGATAAAATATAGATTTAATTTTAGTTTTGTTTTTTAATTTCAGTTAATTTTTTTAAATGAAGCAACTACCTACATGAAATGTAAGTGTAAACTCCAGTGGAGTATATACGCTTCTTGCTTGCAACGCGATGTTTGCGTGCGTTGGATCGATTCACTACAGCGCGTCTGCGGGGCGTATACGCACTGATGACGCTCGTATAATAATATGGCGCGGTGGCATGAGCGCGCGCCCCTCCCCTGCCCCTTTCCTCAGTCTTGTAACGCGATGTATGATTAGATTCAAACGCGCTTCGAACGCGCCTTTATATCGATACAAACGCAATAATCTGCTTTTCAAACATCTTCGGCGCCGTACACGCGCGTTCAACGCGCGTTCTAGAAACGCGTGTCGTCTGCGCGTATACAACACACGTCAACTTCTACACGTCCTGTGTTTTCACAAACTAATGAATTATAAATTATCAGTTTTATTTCTATGTTACTTAAAGTTCTTTTCTAATAAAACATTGACTTTAGCTAATAATACGTATAAACTTATTATTCAATTACATTGTTTCGTCATCCAAACGCATCATATCATAGTTCACAAACCAATATTGTACGAAAGCTTCGATAAAGTTCCGATATCTGTAATCAAATCAGTGCTCGTAATACTAACTCGAGAGTCGGATAATATCTGGTAAAATTAATAAAAGCGGGCAATGAACGCTTACCGTTATCGATAATGCAGTATTGGCGGTATGCCGCGCCCTGTCCTTTGCCGCGTTACCCCCTCTGACCCACTTGTGACCGTACGTGACAAGGGTGCTACATGCGAAATTGTCATTTTCCAACATCTGTGCTCTGTACTGAATTCGCTAGCCCTTGATAACTCTCGTTATTGAAGCTGCCCGGAAAACATCACACGTTTTCAACTCAAGAGAAAGTTATATCATTTGGATTGAGCGGACGGTTTGCCTTTCTGGCACAATAGACACAACACAATCAGTGATTTTTCTGAACTCAGAGCCTATATTATCCGTCTCGAGAACACTCGCCCGCATTATCATCAAGCGCCTTTATTCTCTAACAAAGCTGTTATACAATATCCTCCTTTACACTTCAACCTTGCTCCGGTGCCGTGTGGTCTGATACCCATTGAGTGCAGACTCCAGGTGGGCGGCCACCCAGGCACGCCGCATAAATTCCGCATAAACGCCTCTATTCCCCGATACCTGAATACTGAATAGTGAATGCACTCTAACCCATAAACTGTCTGGGCCAGAACACAACTTATGCGAACGTGTGCCCCATAAATTCAACTTTTCGGGATAACGTTTCTACGCTTTACGTCTTGCAAATTTCACAAAGAAATCGTAAAATAATCCCTACTCAAATTGATCCTCAAATCAGTATTCGTTATTTACAAGAAAATAACATAATGCTGGTGTAGGGTTTTTTCTCCTTACTTTGAACTTAAGAAAGTGTTTCATACACTTTCTTAGCCATTTTCTAGCTTTGAGAGTAAGTCATATTGTTATTTTAAAACAGCAAAGTCAGATATTATTAATGCTGTTTTCCATGTGAAAGAAATTTTAATTGGTCTCTATTGTGACAGTAGCCAGCTTTATTATGCAGTTATTAAAGTGTTTATTTACGTGAAACATGCCAATTCACACTGGTACTGCTATTTTCTCGTTTAAATCGTCATGACCGATTGTCTCGGTAATCGATTTGTTAGCGGATTCGCTGTCGGCGGATGATTTATTCGTTTCGTGTTTACGTCGCTGCGATATCGCGTCCTTGTGACTCTAAAGCGATTCGAGAGCTTCCTTGCCGTCGGTACCGTGATATCAACACCGAAAGAGAAATAGCTCCTTTCAGACACCGACTTCTCGCAGCCTTTTTTATGCATTAATTTGCTTACTAAGCACAGGAGGGCGAGGGAATCGTGTCTGAATATTCAACTTGTCAATTGCCGAGCCTTTCAATCAAAATGTTTGTGTATCAGACTGTTTTAATAATTTTGTATCGTCAACGACGGCATTGGGCACATAAAATGTGCGTTTGTCGTAATTAGCTCCTTTAATGTAATAAGGCCACATCTGCAAGATGTCAACTTTTCAGAGTAGAGGCTTGGAGACTTTACGAACGAAATTAGTGGATAACTTTTAGATGTTGAAATAGGGCAGTTATAAAATTTTGCATATACGTAATGTGTTTAATGTAGTTCGTATTACTTTTTAACCGACTTCAAAAAAGGAGGTTTTCGTTTCGACGGTATTTTTTTTGGTATGTATTTATGTAACGCGACAACTCCGGCGATTTGTGAACCGATTTTGATGATTTTTTTTTTATTGGAAAGATGGTACATCATTATTGGTCCCATTTAAATTTGAAGGTAATATTCCACCTTTAGAGTGGCAAACTTGGGAATTCATCCGGTTTCGCGCACTTTCCGGTAACTGATTTCAAATAAACTTGGCAAATAGATATACTTCCACGAATTGTCCAGATAGGTTTTTTTTAGTTACAATCATATGAATTACATGTGATAAAAGCACTCTTGATGTATGCTTACATGTGGCTTTATTATACTAAGGCTACGAATGAGTAACGTTTTTTTATGCACAGTCAAGGTTCGAACTCTGTGCACAGTTCTATTATCTACTTCATTATGTTCAATTCTGGACGTTTTTACGAACATTAAGGACTTCTTTGAATAATGAAATTGAATTTAACCTCAAACTTCTGTCTGAATTAAACTTCGTTGTTTCGAAGTCAATTTATTGATGAAATATTTAAATACAAGACAAAGGAACATTTCTTGACTATACCCAATACATTTCTTTGAACAGATTGGAGCGGTGGCGGAAATGGAGAGTACCGGGTCAGAAGACAGCTGTCAGTGTCTTCGGACTCCAAGCTCCTTGACGAGAGCGCGCGGGAAGACGCGCGCGTGGTGATGAGACCTAAGCGGCCGCCGCGGCCCAAGTCGGAGGCCTTCCTCGGGCCGCACGACAATTCGAACCGCCGCACGAAACGGTTTAGTGCCTTTGGAGTAAGTATTTACTTGTACATAATAAATATTCGATAGATTTGTAGCAGGTAGAGCTCCTTGTGAAAGAGTTCGTCTAGGGAAGTACTTCTATCTTACCTATTTTTACCTTACCACTAAGCAGTAATGTGAGCACTATTACTTTCCGGTTTTGAAGGGTAAGTGTGATGGTGAAATGACAAGTACACGGAACTTGTCAATTTACGTCCTCAGATCTTTGCGATTGGCACTGCAACTGCTCTGAATAGGCGTGTCGCTTACCACCAGGCGCGGGACCTGTTTATACCGTCACTTATTTTTTTTATTATCATATAAATTAAATCAGTACAGAGTACTAAAAAATCGACCTCAAAAGTACGTGGACTTACGTCTATTTGCTAAGTTTTATTGAAATATCCTTAAATTCGCCCTATATAGGACTTGACCCTGGAGAAATAGCAAAATCAACCGTTAAAATAATTGCTCCTTAAGTAAAATTTAGGCGCTATTTATAAAAATGAATCTTCATGCGTGAACAGCCACCCTAAGGGTCGTATTCTAGAACTCTACTCAATGATCGAGTCAGGACTGGGAGCAGACTTGAGTATGATTTCAAGCACTGGAAATACGACCCTAATGGCAAGGGCTTGAGTATGATTTTCAGTGCTCACTGCAGTACTCAAGTCCTGACTTGAGTATTGAATAGAGTTCTAGAATACGACCCTTAGAGGTGGATGATTTTCTTCAAAATGAAATGGGACCACTATGGAATTCCCCCCTTTCCAACAAAAAAATAATCACGAAAATTGGTTCACATATACCGGAGTTATCGCGTAACATACATACAAAAAAAAACATACAGTCGAATTGAGAACCTCCTCCTTTTTGGAAGTCGATTAAAAAAGAGATAGGTATCGTTGTGAGGTAAATTAAACTACATATAGAATGAAACGTAGTCATGATAATAATAAATAACTTTTTTCTTTTTTCACTAAAAAGCAACAGTTTAATTAAATCTATGAGTCATTACAATATATATCAACCTTTTAAATGACTCACTGGCAACTGCGGTAGGTTTGAAAATTACACAGCATTGCTGTATTCCGGTTTTGATAAAATTACATGCACACGGGACTTGTCAACTTATGTCTCAGGGTGACGAACGTTAGACACGTTCGTCACCCTATTTTCGTAAAACTATAATCATGTTGATTGATACTTTGTTGCTTATTAGTACATATCCAATTTACCCATAAACAACCTCGAGCCGCTATACCCAATCTATGGAATGTTGCATTGGTTCCCTGGTAATTGCAGGTCGTAGGTGCAATTTCTATTGATAACTTTCGTAAATAGGAGTGAAGGGGATTACTTTTGCTCAAAAAACAATTATTCAGCCCGTTGCCCAATGGTGGTTTGAAAGACGGGGAAACTATAATTTAGAAATTACTCTAAACTGGTTTCCTCTTCATTTTCTTACAAAAAAAGAAGAAACTTGACCAGAGTTTATTGCCCTTCAGTATATTTTATTCATAACATGGTATTCTAGGGGCAAGAGTCCACAAAAATTTGACCGTCCATTTTGAGGCTAGAATCTCATTTTTTTTTTCAAGTTACACAAATTTTGTAATTGATATGTCTAAAATGAAAATTATAAGTAAAAAAGTTACTTAATAAGACAGCAGTGGCGAGGCGTGAAAATTGTCGTTAGTAAAGCCGGAACAAAACCAAAAGCACTTAATAAAAACTTCTTTTCCCTTTAAAAAGGCGTGTTGGCCACACTTAAACACAACACTTATTAGCATATAAGTGACTACATATTTATAGTTATTATTTTGCACTGTTAAATTCAATGCCAAATGTAGTAAATTACTTTAAAATTTTAAAAACAAACTTTCGATACGCGACGGTGAAGCAAATTTTTCAGTTTTAATTTTTAATTGCAACTACTAATTATAATAACACGAATGCACATGTCTATGCACTAACATCTACGTTCTTTACGTAAGTCTGAGTACAGTTTTCGTCGCAACAAATGCATTGAACGCGTTAGCGTTAAAATCGTAATTACAGCAACAGAATTCGGGAGTGTATTTTTCTGTCATAAATGCAGAACAATTCTTTTATTCTCGTATCTTAGTGGAAATAAGATTTAAATTTACGTGAACGCTATTCGATGATAACCCGATAATCTTCGGGTTGTGGGCCGCAATTATTAAGTCGTATTCCACTATGTTTTTTGCAAATGTATGCGTGTGTTTCGATGTGAGCGAATTGATTTCATGAATGAATTAAATTCCGGGACGATGGCGGCTTATTCATGCTGTCATTGGTTAAGATCAACCGGGATGGCTACAATACAGTACATCGTATTATAAAGGACTTTATGCACGCGTTTATTAATGAATTATTTGAAATTTGGAATGTACGATTTTTAAGAGGTGGGATATGCGCGCTGCCTTTTGAATTATACGTGGAAAATTTTAGGCAAGCCGGTGGGAGTCGAGTTATCGCCACTGTAAGATAGCAGTCATTTCATGACTCGGTAGTAACTGAAAGTAGGTTTACGTTATTTGTTTCGTAAAGTGCATTTGGAGAGAGATGTTAAACAGTTGTTTTAGTGAGTTTGTTAGCACCACTACTTTCTCAAAACACTTCCATACTCTAATACAATGTGAAGAGGTAACTGGAAAATGTACCTCTAGATATAGTAGCAGCAGTGGCGAAGAGTCGGTATTTGAAGAAAATAAACCGTTGTAAAAGGTATGCAGCAAGGCAGCTAGAGACATTTCCCATGCAGTACTTAGTACTAGGTTTAACACTTGGGAGCCGTGGTTGTTTAATGGATTGACATACCTCTCAAACACTGGGCAGTTTATTCGAATCCGGGCTGGCACCTCTGAGTCTTTCGGAATTTGTGTGCGACATTTAATTTGAAATTTACCATGAGCTTTTCGGTGAAGGAAGACGTTGTGAGGAAGATTCGTAACCCTCGAAAAATGTCTAAAGTATAAGTATATACTATCCACATTAGATCAGCGTAACGGACTATGGCCTAAACACTCGCCTGATAAAAACCCGTGTCCTGCAGTGGGACTTATAAATGGGTTGATGATGATGAAGTTTAATAATATACATATTTTTTAGACAAACCAAGCGGGAATCGTTTTATATGAACCCTTCGTTTCTGCTGGCTAGTGATTGTAAGAATATTCCAAGGAGTAAGGGCTGTTGGCATTCCATACATAGTGAGCATTATTAGAAACAAGTGCATTCCTACAAGCATACTGCTGGAGGTTGGCTATTGAAGTGCTTCCTGCAAATTTGCTGTGGAACCGCTATGTAGTTGAAATTGTAGACAAACTCGATTACGTAGCTTTATAAATATCTTAAGTCAATAAGACATGCACAATTTAAAGTATTTAAAGTAACACATTTCTGTGTTAAGAAACGAAGTCGTAACGTATTTAAGTTTAGAAACTTTATGATAGTTTGTTTTCTCGGAGCATCTTTTACATTTTTCATTGCTTTACTCTTCGTCCCTTTTGACTATTATCATTTATACACAAGCTGTATTACCCAGACAGTTGTGTTATAATGGTAACCTTTGTGTTACCCGTTGTAACACTTCTTGCATTGTTGTGAGTAAAAGAACGTATTGCTTTTTTTTTTCTATTCTGAAAATTAATTTAGCGTTTGTTTAAGTATATCTACTTTTGAATGTTGAGCACTGTTAGAATAGGGCACATACTGTTTTGATGTCACTTGTTGCGCTATAAATAAAAAAAAATAAAACTGCCGACTACAAGTATAGCGTTTTTTATAACGGGACGAACAAGTCGTGTGTCTTCTGGTAACCAACACGTCAGTCCATGACAGTTGTAGTACCACTCAAAGCTTCAAAACATAAAGATCAGAGTTGCATCTCCACTGTTCCCGTCACCTTGAGACATAAGCTGACAAGCCCCACGTGCCTGTAAAGTAGCACCCTTGTCTTCAGGACCGGAACACGGTAATGTTCACATTATTGCTTAGCGGCAAAAATAGGTAAGTACTTCGCGGGACGAACTCTTTCTCAAGGAGCTTCTACTGCTACTAAAATTGCCGCACAGCGTGCTGTCGACGTGCAGCTGTACCCACTAAATCTCTACTCGCAAGTGGACTTTACTAACAGTTGACAGTTGCAATACAAACGCGCCGGCTGCAACACAAATACTTGCCGTAGGCGGCTCGTTGAACTACACACTTCATTAAACTTAAAAATAAAGCAAACATAGAAGTTTTTTCGATACTGCATAAAAGTGTACCGAAGTAGTCAACTTGCACAATACCTACCACTGAGAAAGTTTTTACCGTAACGTCAAGGCTACCACGGATTCTCACATAAATAAATCGCGCACGGTACAAAACATATGAGGAAAATGTGTAAAAATACTATTAGCTTTTCTTCAGAGTTACGAAAGGGGCATTTTGTCCTACACAAGAGTAAGGAAGAATAATGATAGATGAGACGGCCTGCGCGACGGACCGTAGCAGCGCCGCGGGTATACAAATAGGCGTAAGGACGCACTGACAGTGATAGATCGAGGCAATGCATTTGAGATTACAATCAGATAATAGTCTTGTTACTTTTCGGGAGCTTTTCGAGACATTACACTTCTCCAGAAGTGACTCAATATTTATCTCCAATAAATAAATAACTAGGATTCAAAGTAATATTAAGTCTTGGAAACAGAAATAACTAGGTTCGATTAAACTTCATAATAATTAAACACGTGAACAGTAGTGGTAGAACTCCTTGTGAAAGATTTCGTCCAGGGAAGTACTGACACCTGCCACCAAATAATAATGCTCACATTTCTGTTTGCCGGTTTTAAAGGGTAGGGGTTTAGGTGAAATTATAGGCACATGGAACTTATCAACTTATGTCTCAGGGTGACGCGGGCGCAGTGGTTTTGCAATTGCTATAGACAGTCGTAATGCTTACCACCAGGCGCATGACTTATTCGTCCAGTCACTTAATA